AAAAAAAAAAATGAAACTCCAAATCAACGTTGTCTTCTCTAATGAGACGGCTCAACCCATAAATGGAAACGGAGGTATCAGCTGAAATCAGTCAGAAAAATGGAATCTTGGATCTGAAAAAGAAGAGACAAGGTGAAATTGAAGGAAAAAGATGAAATAAAACGAGGGAAATTACATTGTATTTTTTATTCGATAGACTGAAAAAGACGTTACTTATTAAGGCTTACCTAACTTGTTTTTCTCTTTCAAACGAGTAAATTGCAATTTTTTGCTTCCTTTTTTCTTTTATCTCTTTAAAATTAAAGAGAATGTTACCGTCCCGTTACTGTACCATCAAGAAATGCTACGGTCTCATTACGGTACTCTCCTGTGGAGTGTTTTAACCGTCGGCTCATTTACCTTATCTAACTATACGTGGATCCAACGGTTAAGACACCCGACGAGATGCTATCGTAACGAAACTGTAGCGTCTCCTTAAAATACATAAATTCTCGAGTAACTTGTCAATATTCTGTGTTTTTTTTAAAATTATATGTAAATTTTTGGTGCTTCGATTGTCAAATTAAACTTCAATCTATGACTTTCAGAATAATTTATTTATCCATATATATGACTTCGATTGTCAATCTATGACTTTCAGAACAATTTAAACTATAATATATTTTAAAAGTTAATCAATTTTTTTGATTATCAATTTTTTTTGTGCCACATAACAAATTACTCATTTCTCTACACGTATGTAAACCAATATATTTTTTTTTTATCCATAAAATTAAAATTAAATAACTGAATCAACATGAAATTACAAATTATAAATATATTCATTCATTTAAAATTTGTATTTATCAAGTTAATTCATTATAAATATGAATTAGTAAAATTATTATGATATAGAAGGGTAAGCTTTTCGGGCGAATATTATTTTAATATAAAATAATTATAATTTTTTTAATAATTATTTAAAATTTGAAATAAAAAATTCTATGTTTTTTTTTTTTAAAAAAATAAGAATGTATTTTTTATTTTCACCTTGCAACTAGTTTTAAATTTTTAATGTAACAGTTAATGACTATAACAGACTGATATTATAATAATCAAAATGTGGCCCATAGGGCCATAGGCCCGCATAACACTACATTTAAAATCAAATTGCTCCACATGACTAGTGGAGAATCGTTGGGCCTATCTATGATTTAGTCTGAAAACATGGCCACTGGGCTCCACCGGTAGGTTCTGTGCCCGACCCACTGTAACTGTCTATGAGATCATCTGATCATGAATCGAAGTTGGCCCAAGATGTAGGGAATGCTTGGTTATAAAATGTTTTGATTTTGCTTAGATTTTATTGTTTTGTTCGGCTATTTTAAAAAAAAAGTGGTATGATTAATTGTTAACGAGATTTTTAGTTTATATTAAAATAATATTTATATAAAAAGAGTTTTATTAATACAAGACTTGAAAGATGGGTAAACTATCAATGCGGGGCCTGAAAGTTCTTTTTTTTTTCTTAATTCGGGACTTAAATGTTATAAAACTATCAAATTAAAGACTCGAAAGATGTGTAAACTATCAATGTGGGCTTGAAAGATTTTTTTTCCTCAATTCGGGACTTAAACGTTATAAAATTATCAAATTAAGTCTAGAATTAATAAAATTCATAATACCATTAAATTTAGAGTTTAAAAAAAAATAAAGATTGGTGTTTACTCATATAAAATAATAAGTAAACATTTGTATTAAAAAAAAATGGACGATAGCAAGAAAGCCGAGCAAGAACTTCATACTTTTCTTAATTTTCTCCAACAATCTCATATTTTTCTTAATTTTTTTCATTTATTTTTTTTTTCTTTGTAACAAATTTGGTTTTAAAACTTCAAATTACCTCTCAATTTAATGGTGTTATGAGTTTTGTTAATTCCAGGACTTAATTTGATGGTTTTATAACATTTAAGTCACGAATTGAGAAAAATAATCTTTCAGGTCCCGCATTGATAGTTTACCCATCTTTCGGGTCTTTAAGTTGATAGTTTTATAATATTGAAGTCTCGAATTGAGAAAAAAATCTTACAGGCCTCGCATTGATAGTTTAGCCATCTTTCATGCCTTGTATTGAAAAAACTCCTAAATAAAATTATTAAAGTTGGTTTGATGTTTAAGTATGAGAGAAATTATGTAAAGTGTTGATTAGTTGAAATAATGTGAGTTGATGGATAGTGATATACAGTTGATGTAACGTGTAAGAATCATGAATGGTATTATATAATTATATTGATATTTGATAATATTGATGGTAGTGGGGCCGAGTTAAAATTGTAGTTACTATCAATAGAGTTTCAAACGTATCGAGTCGAATCGAGCAAAGCATGAACCTTATCGAGCGCAAAACGAATTTTTCCATCACTACTCGAGCTTGGCAAGCCATGTAAAATGATGCTCGACCCGACTCACGAAAAAAATATGAATGCTCGAGATCGACTCTACTCGATGCTCGACATGGCTCGAGTTCGGCTCGAAATTTTTACAACTAAATTTTAAATATAATTGTACAATTTTTAATCTAGACAGACAATTTTGGCATCGTCTAATATTGATAATAATTAAACTATATGGAGGTTACTTATGTAAATAGAAATTCGAGCGCCTCATCGAGCTTACGAGCCTCTTAAAATGATGCTTGAGGCTCGACTCATTTGCTCGATTGAACTACTCGAGCACTAGTATGACCAAACATTAACTCGAGCGCTAGCGAACAGCTCTCGACTCTCTGGACTGGTTTGCAGCCCTAACTATCAAGTCGACAGTTTCAGGTCCAACCCATCCAACCTAGGACCAGATAAATAAATCTGAATTTTAATAACACAATCTCGGGCACCAATCCTCTTCGACCCAACTGGTTCTTGGGTTAGGCCCGGACTAACCGAATGTCCGATCAAGGAATTGGATTAGTTGTTCAATAGGTGGGGCCCGGTCAATGGTCGAAGGACTACACTACATGTACATGAAAAAAAAAATACATATAATTAGCCACAAATGATACACAAAAATAGTCACCGTGTAAGAACATACAATATTGCTACCTAACTATTAACTATTAATTAAACACATTTTTCCTTGCAAAAGTATGGTCCATCCATAAGTCCCTTATCCTCAAAATCATGATAAAATTATGGATCATTGTCTGCAAAACATATGCTTGCTAGCTTATACCATATTTGTATGATCTTATTATGCAATAATAATTCAATCACCAAAAAATAATAAAATAAAATAAAATGCAAGTTGCCTGTTTATTATGGGATATACCTTTATTTGTGGCGCAAATTTGATCATGTTTTGCAATTTCTTTGTAGAGATATGCATGTTTCTCGTTTTGACCTTTAAACAAATTAAATATTGCCTTCATTTTAAAATCATTGTGTCAATCATTGGCCAAACAAATTATAGTGAAAATTCAAATATTTGACTATATTTTGTTTGCCACTTAGTGATAATTATGATTCAATTGAATTATTAGAGAACACGAGTTTGAATATGAGGTATTTGATTTGACTCGAGTCGATGGATATCTCTAGAGTGTTATCTTTAATACCTCTCTCGTGTATTAATGTATTATCGATAGTTTAAAAAAATATGCAGAGAGTATGTACAAACATAAATGAATATAAACAAAATTCTAGAGACTTATGTCTCCACTTAATCAAGTACGTATATACAAAAGAATGAACGTTATTATGATATTAAAAATAAAATATATAAATAAATATCGTATTTGTAAATAATAAAATTATTAATTATATGTTTTTACCATAATTGGTTAACACAAGAATACCATGTTTTTCTTAATATATATATATTAAAAATTTAAAAATTTGGGGGGACAATGGCCCCCCCTCCCCTAACCACAACATAAATTAGCCTCTGTTTGCTACATCAGTTATTAAGTTTTTTCAAATCGATTTTATTAACCGGTTTGGTCTTGTCAAATCGGTTTACTGCTATATCGGTTCTTGTTATAATATAGTTTAAAAAACCGATGTAACAAGTAATTTTTACTCGACGTAACAAGTGTTTTTACTATTAGTAATGATTTATTTTCACATGACTTTTTTTTTTTTTTTTTGGGTACAGGGACCTTCCGGTTTCCGGATTCACAGGAGAACCGACTAATCCAGAATCGAGCCGGGTAGGACCATAAGGGCGACAAAACTCTCCTTCAAGAGTTTTCACGTGACTTTTTTAACATGTGTTTGCACGGGGCAATCTCAAAATAGCAAATTACCGTCTAATTTGGCCTATAAATAAGGTCGTCATCAGATTTATTTAAGAATAAATTTCAAATGTGTAATTTAGATTAAGTTATATATGTAAATCGTGATGAGATTCTGTAAAAGACCCATAAATTTTCATGTTGACTCGTAATTAGTTCTGTTTATTAGGTGATCATACAAACATGTATATCAGCTCACATGTTATTGTTCAAGTCCTCATATATAAGTGTTTAAAAAATATCAAGTGATTGATTATTGGGTGCTAATGGACATGATATTCTAGA